AACAGGTTTCTTCTGGCACTCACCCATAATTTGGATTCACGCTAAATGTTGTGAAATTGCTGAAATTTGGGAAATTACAAATGACTTACTGTTTTTATCTTGTTATTAAAGATAACAACACAAATAGACATTTAAACTATACATTTTAATCATATGTTGCTCTGTAATTTCAGTTTAAAACTACGTCAGCACTGACAGAGAACATCCTGCTGCCATTCAAAAAGTTCTGCACCGTCAGGCTGTTATAGGTTAAAAACTACTCAGATATTGGATGTGTAACTTTAAAAAAATGAACGAATGGTATATAGTACAACTTAATAAATATCAGACCTCCAACATATTGTATAGTATTATGTTACAAGGCAACAAAAACAAACAAACAACAAACAGTTCTTTACCAACCTCAAAGTGAACATATACAGAAACGTTTTCTCAGCTGTGACTAAAGGACATTTAAAGGTAAGTGAAATGCAAAATGTGCAAAATGTCAGTCACATGTTTGTGTAAATTCCTCTTTTCTTATCTCATAACAACACAGTGTAGAATAGTTCTTCTTCCTGCCTGACCACAAAAATGGGTGTTGTCACGCTGAGTAATCCCACCCACACCAGAAGGAGCAGCAAAACAGACCTGTCACTTTTTAGCCACTGCTACACTTATGTGCAATCTTAGGGCTGCACATAACACACAATCGGCTGTGTGTCAGTGAGGTCCCTGTGCAGACGGGTGGGGGTATTTTGATTTTTGCAATATTAATTAAGAATGGACAGCCAGGGGAGGAAAGTGGTGGTCAGTGACAATGGGACAGGGGTAAGTCAAGCAGTCATATTACCACATAGTCAGATATCCTGCTAACAGTACTGGATGTTGTCTTTTATTTTTCTTTACACATCCATGAGCGTTTAGTTACACATCCATGAGCGTTTAGTTTTAGCGTGAAAAATATTACTAATCATGTTAACTGCATGTCTCTTTAAGATATCTTGATGCAAAGTAACCTTTTGCATCGATGTCTATCTTATTTGTTTTATTGTCAATCATCTGGATCATTTAATGGCAAATATGTGAAGAAATCCCGGGTGTGAGACAAAGTGCACTGCTGTGTGATTCCACATCTGTCTGGACTTGTCACTCCTGCCTTCAGTATGCGCGCACCACCATAAATGGCTGTGGTGCTTTGAAGTGAGCAGACATTGGACAAAAACCAGGAAGAGAGACTTATCAGAGGAGATAAAATCACAGAAGTGGCACTCAGTGGTTGATTTCCGGAGGAAGATGCGTATTGACAGACTTTACTTGCTGCATCCAGAAACGACCAGAGTCGTGTTTTTACCCCTGTTAGGAATGCATTGCATCCCTCCAGGCTAAGGAATGTGTGTCTGTGCCCACATGGACAAGTTAAGACAGTGTAGTAGGAGGAGTAGTT